CCTATAAAGAAACTCAGAATGTTCTAACTACAAAATATCTTTTCACACCACATAAAATGCTTGCAGAATCTAAATGTCTGCTGGTGTTGGGTTCATCATAAGTTATTTTATTTATCTAACAGCTATACTGCTAAATGTAAGTTATAAGAAGACCACACCATATGCACTAGCAGTCGAGCCCAGTAAAGATGCCCGGTAAATATAGGCAAGCCTATATTAGATCCACGGCCGTCCTATCACGCCACTGATGCAAAGTAGAATGATGAGACAAGAACATCGACCAAGGATGCAGAGGATCAGGTACGCCTGAAGAAGGGAGACTGATACATGTTAACTCTTGATTGTGTGATAAAAGCTCTCTAATTAGATATAGATGTTATTGGCCCTATTACATTATTGAATATTGCAACCCAGGAATGACCAAGATGTTGACTGCCATCCATATCAGGACATCAGGTTCATTTCAGTCTACTGAGAAAATGGTATTCTTGTGTTAAAAATACTGAGGTCCACATAGCAGTCATTGTCATAAACAAGACAAGACATGAACACTTATTTTTCTCCACACCAATAGGAGTGGAAGAATTGTGAATATTTCTTTAATGCACTTACTGGTGTATCATATATTCTGAGTGAAACTGTCTGTACACAAGTATGCGTTCTATCATCTAAACTAAAACATAAACTATTTGTAAATAAATTATTTTATAGATACAAGTGGAGCACACAGAACAGAAAAAAAAACAAAAAGAAAAACCAATGTATTTTAGGGGCAGCAGTAAATTGTTAGGAACACAACCTACCTCTTACCTACAGGGAGTGCAGAATTATTAGGCAAATGAGTATTTTGACCACATCATCCTCTTTATGCATTTTGTCTTACTCCAAGCTGTATAGGCTCGAAAGCCTACTACCAATTAAGCATATTAGGTGATGTGCATCTCTGTAATGAGAAGGGGTGTGGTCTAATGACATCAACACCCTATATCAGGTGTGCATAATTATTAGGCAACTTCCTTTCCTTTGGCAAAATGGGTCAAAAGAAGGACTTGACAGGCTCAGAAAAGTCAAAAATAGTGAGATATCTTGCAGAGGGATGCAGCACTCTTAAAATTGCAAAGCTTCTGAAGCGTGATCATCGAACAATCAAGCGTTTCATTCAAAATAGTCAACAGGGTCGCAAGAAGCGTGTGGAAAAACCAAGGCGCAAAATAACTGCCCATGAACTGAGAAAAGTCAAGCGTGCAGCTGCCACGATGCCACTTGCCACCAGTTTGGCCATATTTCAGAGCTGCAACATCACTGGAGTGCCCAAAAGCACAAGGTGTGCAATACTCAGAGACATGGCCAAGGTAAGAAAGGCTGAAAGACGACCACCACTGAACAAGACACACAAGCTGAAACGTCAAGACTGGGCCAAGAAATATCTCAAGACTGATTTTTCTAAGGTTTTATGGACTGATGCAATGAGAGTGAGTCTTGATGGGCCAGATGGATGGGCCCGTGGCTGGATTGGTAAAGGGCAGAGAGCTCCAGTCCGACTCAGACGCCAGCAAGGTGGAGGTGGAGTACTGGTTTGGGCTGGTATCATCAAAGATGAGCTTGTGGGGCCTTTTCGGGTTGAGGATGGAGTCAAGCTCAACTCCCAGTCCTACTGCCAGTTCCTGGAAGACACCTTCTTCAAGCAGTGGTACAGGAAGAAGTCTGCATCCTTCAAGAAAAACATGATTTTCATGCAGGACAATGCTCCATCACATGCGTCCAAGTACTCCACAGCGTGGCTGGCAAGAAAGGGTATAAAAGAAGAAAATCTAATGACATGGCCTCCTTGTTCACCTGATCTGAACCCCATTGAGAACCTGTGGTCCATCATCAAATGTGAGATTTACAAGGAGGGAAAACAGTACACCTCTCTGAACAGTGTCTGGGAGGCTGTGGTTGCTGCTGCACGCAATGTTGATGGTGAACAGATCAAAACACTGACAGAATCCATGGATGGCAGGCTTTTGAGTGTCCTTGCAAAGAAAGGTGGCTATATTGGTCACTGATTTGTTTTTGTTTTGTTTTTGAATGTCAGAAATGTATATTTGTGAATGTTGAGATGTTATATTGGTTTCACTGGTAATAATAAATAATTGAAATGGGTATATATTTGTTTTTTGTTAAGTTGCCTAATAATTATGCACAGTAATAGTCACCTGCACACACAGATATCCCCCTAACATAGCTATAACTAAAAACAAACTAAAAACTACTTCCAAAAATATTCAGCTTTGATATTAATGAGTTTTTTGGGTTCATTGAGAACATGGTTGTTGTTCAATAATAAAATTAATCCTCAAAAATACAACTTGCCTAATAATTCTGCACTCCCTGTATTCAAAATCATATATAAAAAAAACACAAACGTATAACTGCGCTTCATTGTATCACAATAGAATGGAATTAAACTAAACAGTGCATGTCTTGGATATCCTCTTATAGATTTTAAGATGTCAGGTTTTCTTCTAATTCAGAACTTTTGTAGTTTCCTCCCAAGCATGTGACCATATAAAAAAAGAGAGGGAGATGGAGACAAACGTAGCTTATAGAGTAGTATACAGATACAATCAATTTAAATGTATTTTAAAAAAATGCTTAAAATACATTTTATAAATATATGTACACATATTAGTGATCTATAGTCAATGTCATACAATTTTTTTCCATATATTCAATTTTTTTTGAAAGTTTACACCATAACACAAAACCGTCACCAATCAACTATTAGCATGCAGTAAAAAGGGTACACAGTGTCAGCTCACTGAAAGTTGTAGAATGCGGGTACCATAGAGTTGCTGACCTTTTTTATTAAAAAAGTGTGGTTTTTGTTTTTGTGTTTTCATTTATAGTATGAAGAATTAACAAAAATATCCACTTAATTAAAAAATAGCACAAACTGTAAATTAACTTTTGCACAAAAAGATTTTATTAGTATGCTTGTAATATAATCAGATGTAAGTACAGTCAACATTGCAAAAATAATAATATAATAAATATAAGTAATATTAATTAACAAAACATTTTAAAGTGCATACTGATACATTACTTGAATTTTAGATATAAATGTAATATTTTATGTAGATTGACACACAGGGTTATGAGTTATTGTTAAGGGGAACAGTCACTTCTCTGGAAATTACACCATTGAATAAAATATTTCTAACATAAGGCTATATATTATTTTGATTCTTTATTAAATATATAGAAAATCACTCCACCATGCCATTCAGTAAAGGTATAGAAAAAGCACACTTTGGAAATGAGCAGGAGAAAGAGAACCTTTGTGTCATTCTTCCCTTTCTCTATGCTGCCAGACATTATAACAATGATTGACAAGGAGCAAAGATGGAGGGGCCCAGTTACAGGATAAACAGATGTGAATCTTTCCATTTAAAGGGATACTATAGTCACCAGAACAACTACAGCTTATTGAATTTGTTCTGGTGAGTAGAATCATTACCTTCAGGCTTTTTGCTGTAAACACCGTCTTTTCAGAGAAAATGCAGTGTTTACATTACAGCCTATTGATAACTTCACTGGCCACTCCTCAGCTGTTAGAGATCCTTCCTGGGTCATGGCTGCCTAAAATGCATCCAAACATTCAGTATCTCCTCCCTCTGCATGCAGACACTGAACTTTCCTCATAGAGATTAATTGATTCAATTCATCTCTACGAGGAGATGCTGATTGACCAGGGCTGTGTTTGAATTCTGCTGGCTCTGCCCCTGATCTGCCACTTTGTCAGTCTCAGCCAATCCTATGGGGAAGCATCGTGATTGAATTAGGCTGCCACTTCTGCTGATGTTAGCAGGCAGTGGGCAGGTCTAAAGGAAACTGGGAGAAAGTATGCAGCTACAGACTTGAATATTTTAAGATTTTACTATTTTTAGGGTGGCTAGATGGTGGTTTTAACCCTATAGGGTCAGGAATACATGTTTGTGTTCCTGATCCTATAGTGTTCCTTTAATTTTATTTTTCACACCTCACAAACTCTTATATGCAAATTAAGTTATAAGTAAACAGAATATTAGCAGATCCTTGGATGTCACAGTTTCTTTTTAAAGGAAAGCTCTAAGCAACACAACCACTTCAACTTGGGTGATAGTGCCTGGAGTGCCCTAGTGCCAAACCTAGTTTAATATCACACAATTTGGTGATGGTTTAGTGTAAAGAAACACCTAAGTGACTGACTCCATCTCAGGCACATTGATAATGCAGCATTTATATGACCACGATATCCGGGTCAATTTAGTCTTACTTGAATGATAATGATTGACTGAAAGTTCCCAGCACTCTCAGACCATATACTCTGCTGGACGAAAATGACATCAAAGTGTTAATTCCGTATTATCAATGCATCAGAGATGGATGGTCACTTAGAAGAGCCTAAGTTAATATGAAGCTATTTCTAAATATTAATCCGAAGGACGGTACCAATACATAATAGAAAACATAGCCACTACAGCGAGCTATAATTTAACAGAACATTAAACTAAACTGCACACATAAACACATTGCTTGTATATTATCTCAGTGTCACAGAAATTATAATCACTAAAAAGTAACAGCAGTTTGGCATTGCTAAATCCTGGTTATATATAAAAAAAATTCTATTGGATGCAAAATGAAGCAGGCGGTATGCCCATAAATGACATTACATTGAGGGTGTCAACTTTGGATTGAGCGAATAACCTCTGTATTTTTTTAAAGCCTTTAAAAAATGTTTTGATGAAAACCTTTGGCACTGCGTTCATAGAATCCTTGTACCGTAACGATTTCAATAAGATGCAGCTGTTATGGTACTTGGAGTGTCCCTATAAGCAAGGATCTGTCACATCTTGGTTTGGTGGGAACTCCCTTCAGACACAGCAAATGGAGTAACTTTAAATGTATTTATATTACTTATTATTTTACATTTGTTTTGTGTAATTTTTAATGCACTATCTATATAATGCATTAAGAAAGAAAGGTTCAAATGTGGCCTGTAAGGCCTCAACTAGCTCTTCTAATTCTAAGACCCTTGTCCAGTATCATTCATATATAGAACAATTATGTATTCTTAGCACCGTAAATAGGAGAGACATCCCATGGATTTTGAAATTAATTTCACATTTAAAGCCAATATAGCCAAACTGGAAACAGAAATGACTTGGAGACATTTTCTAATTCAGCTATTTCAGCCTATATTATATAATTCCCTTTGAATTTACAGAATTCTCACTTTAGTGAATAACCATGATACCACTGTAAGCCCCCCCTAAAGCAGAATAGGATTGTGCCCATAAATACTTTTAGTAATGAAAATAACATTTATGGATAATAAAATGTGTTGAGTTTGCAAAAATATTGGGGACAAGAAAAGAGAAACCAAGAGTGCCAATCGGAAGCAATGATGGCTCATACTACTGGATAAATACAGCAATGGAATAAGCTACAGATAGGCCAGAGCAATCATTGGAGAAAGGTGCTAGATCATTAGGGTAATACGATTAGGTGATTTACAGGATCTTAGCACCCCAAGTGTTAATAAGGATGTTGAAGGATAGTACATTTATCATTCTGCTTCCTAGCTTTCAAACGCCGGTCCAGATAAATGGGTTTGGCTTTGGCTAGGGAATGGCCTTGTTTTTAAATGAAGTGCCTGCAATTTGCCACATGTACAATTTGTACACGTAAAGTATATAATTTGTAAAAAAAATAGCTAATATGCACTGACTTATACAACATGCCATCTTATGTACTTAGGTTTCCCTCCAACTAACAGATTTGGAATAAAATGGTAAAATTGTGGCTGTTGATATTGTCGACATATTTTATCCATATAAGAGCAGAGTGTATTTCACATACCCCCTACTTCTCCCACAATGATAGGTTTATTCACTAAACTCAGAATTCTAGCAAATTATGTTTTGAATGGCAAAATTCAGGCCAAAACAGCTTATCTGGAAGAATTCTTCAGTATAGTGTTACACTAAACTCACTTTGAATTCACAGTAATGCACACTTCAGTGAACAACACGGCGAGGGTATTTTGTGCATGTCTTCTTTAATTCAATTCTCACTGGGCAATTGGGGTGTATACTTGTGATTAGCCGGCAATATTGCAAAAATTTAGAGAAAATTGTCAAACGGGAAATCTGCAATACAGTAGAGTAGGAATTACTCTTAAGGTAGATAATTTTGCTTATCTTGAAAGCCAGCTGTTGACTCACAAAATCAGTTTAGCGAGAGTGAGTTTGCTAATTTCAGACTGAATGCGTTGTGCTTAGATTCATGGTACAATAAAAATATATTTAATTAAAACTTGTACAGCAGGGTATTAATATCCAAAACTGCCACCCTCTCCACAGACTAATTAAAAATAATTTTCTTATATGAGCAGTGTTAGTGTTTGCTCCCTGTGGAATAAGAAGGATTTTGTTGTTTGTGTTACAGACATGGTCTATTGTAAAACCCACAAATTGTTGTGCAAACCAATATAAAATAAATAGTAAAATAGTATAAAAATGCTTATGTTATATTGGTGCCCATGTAATAGTCTCAAATTAAATGTTATCTATAACTGATCATTTAGAAATTTAAGTTATTTGTTTGTTGTGTTTACCCAGGTAAGATTATTGTTTAAAAGTGTTACCTTTGCTATAAAATAAACATCTGAGTTGGTCGCGTATTATGATTGTCCTGTTCCGCTATTGTATTGTTTCTTTCCAAATAAGCCTATAGGTTCTAAAGAGTGTCTCTGAGATGAAGAAAATACGCAGTCATTGTCTGGTGCACAGTTTGGGATTGCTGTCCTCTCAGTCTGGTGCTGAGTGAACACTCTGAGATTGTTGTCTCCTCAGGCTGGTGCACACTCTGAGATTGCTGTCCCGAGTAAACACACTCTGAGATTGCTGTCCTTACAGTCTGGTGCTGAGTGCACACTCTGAGATTGTTGTCTCCTCAGGCTGGTGCACACTCTGAGATTGCTGTCCCGAGTAAACACACTCTGAGATTGCTGTCCTTACAGTCTGGTGCTGAGTGCACACTCTGAGATTGTTGTCTCCTCAGGCTGGTGCACACTCTGAGATTGCTGTCCCGAGTAAACACACTCTGAGATTGCTGTCCTTACAGTCTGGTGCTGAGCGCACACTCTGAGATTGCTGTCCTTACAGTCTGGTGCTGAGCGCACACTCTGAGATTGCTGTCCTGAGTAAACACATTTTGAGATTGCTGCCCTTACTGTCTGGTGCCGAGCGCACACTCTGAGATTGCTGTCTTTACAGTCTGGTGCTGAGTGAACACTCTGAGATTGCTGTCTTTACAGTCTGGTGCTGAGTGAACACTCTGAGATTGCTGTCCTTACAGTCTGGTGCTGAGTGAACACTCTGAGAATGCTGTCCTCACAGTATGGTGCTGAGTGCACACGCTAATACCACTGCTTTGCACTCCTTGTTTTTGCTTCTTGAAGTTGAACTTGTTGAATTCTTGGGATATTTGTGCTATGGTTTTATCCTTGGTCTCAGGAACAATAAAATGTACGAAAAGCAGTGCCAGGATGATGAAGGCCATGAACAGGAGAAAGCAGAAATGTTTTAGGGTTTCCTGGAAAAACAAAGAGAATGTACATCAGCAGTGCAGGTTGCAATCCTTGTATCTGTTTTTCTATATTGTCATTGTTCTTCATATTGTGAAATATGGAGGATTCAGATGAATATATTTTGTATAGCTAAATAAAGTCTATATGCATAAAGGCTTTGGAAAGATTCTGGTCAAGAATATACAACAGGCAGCACAGCAACCACTGTGGATTATGTCTTCAATGCTCCTCTCCCATTTTTCCCAGCTGGACAAGTGTCATGGGAGTTGTAGTTCACAGCAACGGTGGTGCCGGAAGATGTCTTAGTCTAAATTCAGAGTACTTTACAGTTTGTGATCAAGCTACTTTCTCTTCCACAATAAATTTAAGGGTAGTACACAACTTACCACTGGGATGCTGACATATCATACATAAACATATACATTGGGGCACTAGCTACTAAATATCAACAGTCCAGCATTTAGACAAATCTAATTTCTGTTTCACTTATATAAAGGCAACCAGAACTATTGGTGTGCCTTGAGGAGTGGGTTAGGAAACAATGTAATAGAGAGTATGAAGGAAACAGTGACCAGGGCAGGAGGGTCTGTAGATACCAGCCACCCCTACTCCGAGACTGCAACACCAAATAGACACTCCAGGAGTGTCTTGGGGCCTAACCCCTAGTTTCAGATACAATGATGACAATGTCCTACCTATTGGAGCCAAGACTCTATAAGTGGTTGTCAACTAGAGAATAATATCCAAATTGAAAGTGTTGTTAATATTCAAATGTATGGATTAACCCCAAATGTAAACATAGCAGTTTCTCTGAAACTGCTATGTTTGCATCTGAAGGGTTAAAACCTGAGGGACCTGGCACCCAGACCACTTCATTGAGATGAAGTGGTCTGGGTGACTATAGTGTCCCTTTAAGCTGGCTGTGAGTCTGCACAAGCTGTTGTGAGACAGTGTTGCAATACTGTTGCCAGTAGAACTACGTATTCCTTTGGCAAATATGTTAACTTTCTACCTGTTAGAGTATACTAAGTTGCTGATAGCTCTGCCAAACACGGTTCAATTTCGCCAGACGTGTGTGTCTATATGTCTGACTCAGCAGGATAGTATAATAAAGAGTGCTGTTGTCTATTAGACCGGAGTGTTACCATAAAAGCAATCTATTTAGTCTCTACCATATTACTGATACTCGAACAGTCTAGACACCAACGAGGAAAGACAAAGAAAAATAAGTGTTAACGGTGTAGAACCATGATTAGAATGCTGGTTACCTACACCTTAAGTGAAAGGTCACTGTGAAGAAGAAGAAAGAACCCGATGCGCGGTTTGGTGCACGGACATGTGCATCTTCGTCAGGGGTGGAGACTGTACTGACCTGAAAAGCCAGTAGGCTATAGTTAATTTCACTTTATTTATTTTTCTTTATTGACCTCCTATATCTGTGGATAATACATGGGACAAAATGTACATTTGAATATTAACAACACTCTCAATTTGGATATTATTCTCCAGTTGACAACCACTTAAGGAGTCTTGGCTCCAATAGGTAGGACTTTGTCATCATTGTATCTGTAATAGAGAGTACCTTCTAGAGTGAGAGGAAAAATTGGGACCTTTATACACGACAACAGACAATAGTTACTGGTATGCTTATTAGAAATCTCTGTATAATTCCCATGAGCTATAGAATGGCCCCAACACTTACCACTATATAAGGGAAGACCATTCCAAGGATGTACAGGCCCACCCAGCTAAAACATCCTGAAATGACAAAAGCTGGAACTCGAGGAACCTGGGAGAAGATTTCAACACATGTAGATATTGTGGCACCAGCTGTGGATAGGAAGAAAAGAAAACATGGAAATATATTTTATACAGACATTGATGGTATCACTATTTTTTCCTCTTAGTATTTGAAGTACTTTCCTTGGTGAAAAAAGGAAGTATTAAAATGATTATGTGCTGTGTGCACCAGTGACGGCTGCAGGGAATTGGCTTTATCTATGGACCTGAATATCCATATCCATAGACCTCAATGTTTTACTCTTGCATGCTCGCTGAAGCGCCAGAAGCTGAAGAGGACCTGCCAAGGGAAGATGGCCATGCCTGTGAGGAACAGTTTCTGGTAAGTAGAACTTACTTTTATCTGCCACTTGACCCCCAGTGGCGATGTCACCACTGAGGGTCTTTGCAAAGTCCCCAGATGGTGACAGTGCCACTTCAATACATGACAGAAATTCTATGGAACCCTAGCCAAGGGTTGCAATCAAATAGTGCAAGTGCAATATTTGATTAGTAAAATTATAAAAAGTAAAAGGCATTTTTAATAGAGAAACATCATAGAAAGTTGTGATTGGCTCATGACATAATGATGACAATATTAAAAGGTTCACTTGTTATCAAGTCAGTGGAGAATGTGTAGATGCTTGGACTAAAAAAGCTATAATTCTGCATAGAAGTAAAGGATCAGAAGACTAGGCGACTGTACATATATAACCTTCAAACAATACAAAAGAGAATAAAAATGTCAACTTGTTTACCTGTGCATTAGTAATAAAATCCATATAACATTAAAAAAATTGTAAAATACACAAATAGTATAAAACAATCACTAAACTATGCATTGTCAGGAACTGACCCCAGAATTGTATATTTTATTTATATCCAAATAAGACAATAGAAAAAGAGCAAAAACAAGCAACAATAAACAAAAATAAATAAATAACAGAAGATCTTACTAAACCATAAAATGTGCGCTATTCCAAGTTTAGCCCAAATTGGCTGAATTAGTCAAATGATCCACCTATGTTAGGTTGCCAGACCAGCTATTTTTTTATTTCTTTTTTATGCATGGCAATGCACAGAGAAAAACATTGCCACATATGCACATTGAGTGAGTCACAGCATATTACAGATATAAAAATGCAATGAGTGTTACAGCAAATTTTAAATAATTTCTCAAGAGTAAGAAGCCAATTAAGGCCAGGAGTCTTGACGTCCCTGGAATAGATTGTTTACATCAAAGATGAAGAGCCATAATGTCAAAATATAAAAAGCAATAATATAAAAAAGAAAATATATATTTGGGTAACTAATAGGCTTTGTGAGTCTGATACCCCAAACCAAGGTGGCTGTTTGGGGTAACAAGGGATGTTTGAGATGTTTCACCAATTACAGTGCCTGACCAGTTATTTTGGTCTAAAACTTTTTGAATAAATCGCTAAACCAATGTACAAACCAAACTCACTCATACCATTTTGTTTGTGAGTTCTGATACTTTCTTCAAAATGAACACTTGATTTATACTCACCAGGCCCAGCTCCATACAGGAAGATGAACAGAAAGGTGAGAAACACACTACAGTATGGCATCCATGAATATGAATCCTAAAGGAAAATAAGTGTTTAAATACAATGGAACAATGTTAATATAAATGCAAATGACAGTAATGGATGATGGAATTTTGGTACATGGGAAATTTCTGCGTGTAGCTTCAGGTATGTTGAAGTGATGGAATCAGCAAGATAATTAATACCCAAGGGATTCTATAACATTGCGTTTGGTACTTTATTAAGGTAAATAATCCCCACCTCCCTCCCCCCAAAAAATCATTATAGTTAAATGACAGAGTGTTGGGTTATCAGCATGGGATATGATCAGTGGAGGAGAAATGGGGACGTTCCTTGTGATTTACCTGCAGGGACAGTGTGACTGTGAGGAAGCTCAATGTGAGTGTCATGAGACTGTATCCTCCCAAAATTAGCATCTTTCTCCCAAAGCGATCAATAAGCAGACTCTGCACAGATATAAGATATAAGATATATGGCTGCATGTATGATTCTATATATATATTGTCAGGAGAAATTGTATAGAGGACAGCAGAAAATTATATCATTCTAAGTGGCTACAAGTACATCTACATTATTTAAAAAAGGATTCCTTGTTCCTGTTATATAATCAGTGTATGCATTAATACATACATTTAAGAGTTATTTACTTAATGCTAGTATGGAAAATAATATTACTAGTCAAATGGGCACTTTGGGATTCATTCATTAAATCAGGAAATGTGAAGAACTGACTGCAGTATATTTTAGGGTAATATGCCAAAATGAAAAAAGTTAAAGACTTTTACCAATTCAGCAATAAGACCTGAAATTATGCATATCCCTTATCAATGCAGTAGGATTTTATAATATTGCTATCAAAATGTTTTTAAAATACCACGTGCCATTTGTGCTTTGCTGAAATGCCACAGAATTCAGAACAGTGCAGCATCATTACAGCCCTATTAAAAGAAGTACCATTTCACAACGGGTTGACTTGTTACCTGCGGTGCGCTGGCCACTGCTCCCCAACTGCACTGCATCAGCCAGAGAGCTAGAATCACTCTGTCTGAGCTAAGTATTTCAGTGCAGGGCTTAGCTCATTGGCTGAGAGCACCAGCTGATCTCTTCTGGCTCTCTAAGAGGCAAGGAAAAGTGCATGGTAGACTCCAGGTAAGAAGTCAAAATGTTCAGAAACAGCTTGACAACTTACATTCCTGGCACCATAACCACTACAATGCATGTTTATAGTGCTTGGCATATTCCTCTAAAAATGCACTTAGAATAAAGATAGAGTTGGCATATGTACCCAGTATTGTAAGTACACCTGTCTTTAAAGTGCTTGTAAGAGCAGTACAAATCCCCATATAGTAAATAAACTAATAAACTCATCGGTCATCTGTTTCTAGTTGACACTGTAGCATGTATGTGGGGTTTTGCATGCTAGATTTCAAATACTTTTCAAATTCTTATTGATTCCAATGAGTGATATTTCTTTAGCATAGTAGTAATATTTAGCAAAAATGCTTACACAGATCATGGCAGACACAAATTCAAAGGCTCCGACTCCAAGAGAAACATATGCAATCTGATCCTGAGGGAAGCCAGCTTCTTGAAACACATCGTATGAGTAGAAATAAATCTGCAAAATAGATCAGGAAGGGATTCATCATTCATAGCTTCTTAGCTAAATTACATAGTAAAGGTTCCTATGTAGACGTGAATACAATATATAGCAAACTTTATTCACAAACTCCATGTATGAATTGACATGTTCAAAAAAATACTCAACTGCATTAGCACCACTGAGCTGTAGGCAGAGGATCAGCCCAATCAGCACAAGTATTTGGTAGCGGTGGGATGGGTCTTTAAGCAGCTCCAATACACTCATCTTCCTGCCCATTTTACTGGAAACATTATCTTTCATTATCTCATCGATATGAGCTTGGTGGTCTCTGTCTCCCCAGAGCTGTTTTAGAGCTGTATAAAATAATACAATCATATGTAGAGACATTTAAACATACTGGTAATGCTAATTGTCTGACTTTTATTCCTCCCCATAAAAACTGCGTTTTATAGAATACAGTGTTCCTCCATTAAATTGTGCTCATCTGCTTATTTCCTTGTCACTGACCAAGTCACCAGTGAACACATTGTATAGCTGTGATTACAAATGGCCCGGTGAGCCCCCTGTAGCTCTTCTTACCAGCTTTCTTACAAGAAAATAAAAATAAATACCTGACTTCTTCGAGAAATAAATGCATAATAAACTGTGGCATTACTGATCATAAAAAGTCAGACGAGATATTTAACTATAACGTGAATTCATTTGCAGAGAGACTTATCAGATTAATCTTTTGGAATCACAATACATATATCACTTTGTGATCTCACACAGTAATGCGTATAAGTGCATTCAGATTAGATGTGCATTGTACCAGAGAGTTCTATGATATTATTACTGGCTATTCACAATATAACACATATGACGCACGTCTTAAATAAACTAACGCTAAGCTGCAAAAGAGTAATTGTTGGCTCTTAAATGTTATTTTTAAATCATTCTACATCATTGCAAGAATTAAAAGTATGGTTGTATTGTTTGGTAAAGTGTGGGCAGAATGTCTCCAATGTATGTTTCTGAACCATAACCTGTATGAAATATTCCCCAATAAATAACTTGAATTATTGTGGGTCTGTCTCTTGTCTACAGCTACTCAGAGAATTACACCGTAAGCTATGACAGTAATATTCAGTACCTTTCTATTTCCCAGTATCGGTTCCCTTCTTGACTGATCTAACATTATCACAAGGTAGTCACCCCCATATACACCTACCTCTCATGCAGCCTTCCTTGTCACCTTTATCCAGTAGAATGTAGGTAGGGGAGTCTGGGAAGAAAGGCAACATGACCAGCTGGACAAATGATAAGAATGCACTGACGAGGAGAAGCTGAGGCCACAGGGTTTCTGTTCCAAATAATTCCCTGTTGGAGACATAGAGTGAGACATGTGGGATGACATGGTTGACAGCAGGGGAAGTCAGTGGTGTGCGGGTACTTTTAATGGTGGGCATTGCTTGATAAGGGGAAAAGCTAGGCAATATCTTTGGTCTTGTGGTTTATTATGATGCCCCCAGAACACTACTCTGTGGTTTATTCTCCAATAACACATGCATTATATATATATGTATGTGTGTGAATATGTATATACACACACAGAACTGGGACTGTATATATATATAAAAAATTTATAAACATACCACCCTTGAGAAGAAGTGTAGATTGTAAAAAAATATTACTACAACAGGAGAAATAATGGATCAGGACTCTTGATACCACCTCACCACGGGGCCTAAATGAATTATATTCACTTTCCATTTTCTTGTGATTTCTGTTTGGTTCTAAACATTTTTCAATGACTAACAGCGAGAAAGTGTGATCAGAGCCCACCCTGTGGGACAGTTTCTCCACTGTTGTCTTCGCTTTGTTGTTATAATCATTACTGTATCTGGGAACTACCATGGCATTTAGGTTACAGATTGGGCTAATTTGGCAACCTATAACCCACCCAGGGGGAGAGGTACAGGGTTGGCCATGGCCCTACTATCTGTTTGCCAGTGCCTGGTTCTAGTTTCTATATTCCTAAAAATAATGTTTCATTGAAATATAAATAGTGTAAATATGTATAGTAGTGTCTCCGTTATGGGTGGAATATTGTGGTTGCTATATAAGTACACAGCCCTATGGTCGGCAACATATTAGTTACAAGTATCAAGTACTGTCACTCATGTATTTTGGGGCAAACATTGTTTGCCTCCTGTGGAATTATGTGGCACAGATCCAATTTCCCAGGTTAAATCCTTAAGAGTACAGACTAATCATCTTTAGGATGTTACTTCCCTCTACTCCTTTGCATATAAGCTTTCATAATCCATATTATCCATTCAAAGTAAGAATAGCTACCATTAGTGGATGCAAATATATAGGTTCATAGGTCTACAGACCGGGACAATATGTGCTCATTATTAAAGCTTTGCCTTCCAACCTCCAGCCTAGTGTAAAGTAACAGCTTGATTCATTTAGTCCACTCTGTGGATTTTTACTTAATTTCTTTTGTGGTTGTTTAATTTTGGTTACCATGACAGTGACTGGGGGAGTGTCCCGGCACGTCAGGGATGCATGCGTAATGACGTCATCGAATGGGGACGGAGTCAGGCACTTGGACGGACCGGGTCGCCCCCTGGAAGGGTTCTACCGCCAGATGTGGTGAATTTATGATTTATCTTTTGTTATATATTGTATGTTTGGTGTATGTTAAGCTTATCCTGATGAAAGTCTGCTGTGTCAGACTGAAACGTCGATTTTTTTTATTTTGTATGGAAATAAAAGTAAAATTTTACTCTAAAGAAGTCCTAGTGCTATCTTATCATTCTTTATATATATATATATATATATATATATATATATATATATATATATATATATAACTGGATCTCTGCTAGGCCCAAAAATTACTAGATACAGTCCCAGTTCTGACTGAGATTAGTGCCCTTAAACTGCACAAACAGGAGCTGTGCATTATTAGCCGTTTATTACGGAGAATAATTGAATGGATGACAACACCATCTATGCCGTATGAGGTTCTAAATCTGGTTAAATAAGTGCAGATCTTGTAATTATATAAACAATTTACATGAAATGCACACAAAATATCTGGTGGCAGTAGAGTAGTGCCCTTTTGAAATGCTTGAAGGACCACTATAGGCACCCAGACCACTTCAGCTCAATGAAGTGATCTGGGTGCCAGGTCCCCCAGGTTTTAACCCTGCAGCTGTAAACATAGCAGTTTCAGATAAACTGCTATGTTTACACTAGGGTTAATCCAGCCTCTCACTGACAGCCGCTAGAGGCGCTACCGCACTTCTCACTGTGAAAATCACAGTGAGAAGACGCTGGACGTCCATATGAAAGTATTGAGAAATGCTTTCCTATGGACTGTCTTAATGCGCATTCAGTGCTGATGTCGGGAGGAGGAGGAGAATTCCCCAGCCCCGAGAGAGCCCGGCGCTGGAAAAAGGTAAGTGTTTAACCCCTTCAGCCCCCTTGAGCCCAGTGGGAGTGGGACTCTGAGGGTGGGGGGAACCTAAAGACCCTATAGTGCCAGGAAAACTAGTTTGTTTTCCTGGCACTATAGTGGTCCTTTTAAAGTTCTCAGTACATTATTTATTTTAAGAAAAAATTCTACATTAACTTTTTAAGAAGAACAAAGTCTTAGATTGTAAGCTTGTTTGAGCAGGGTCCTCTTCAACCTATCGTTCCTGTAAGTTTTCTTGTAAGTGTCCTATTTATAGTAAAATCCCCCCTCTCATAATATTGTAAAGTGCTACGGAATCTGTTGGCGCTATATAAATGGCAATAATAATAATAGTAATAAAAGCAAGTAATTTAAGAGTCACATACCTCAGTCCAATTATCTGCCCACAGAGTTTTCCCAAGGTAACAAACAAAGGGCCTGAGGTATTAATAAGTCCTCGCAGTTTTCTGGGTGCAATCTCTCCTGCAAACTGAGCGTGGATGTTAATTCCCAGACCTTGAACAATCACAGATAGAGATACAGATCAATTTGTTGGGGAATGTAAATACCAGCATGAGCAAGATCCTATGTCCCGTCTAAATCAGGGCTGAGGCCTGTTCTCATCTACATGATAGGTTCCGAAGTATGTAGAATTAATTTGTTGTTGTTGGGAAAACATTTGATTAATCACAGACCTGATTATCCACTAAATTGTGTGCTCTTGAGAATTCAATGTGAATTTAACATTAAAAATTACATTTTAGGTACATAATTGTAAAAATGAAACAAAGCTAACTTTTACTATTCCACGTAATATTTTAATTCACTTTGAAATCTGAAAATCTGAAAAATTATCATATAATCGATGCCTTTGTGCTTTACATATTGTAAGGATGCACTCTGTATGTTGATTGTAATAGGTAAAAAGCAACAGGTGACCATCTACTTATTGGCAATCAATGATCAATATAGAGTATCTCCCTCATTATATGAAATGTTTAACCTGAACTCACCGGCATAAAACCCAGCCAGGCAGCGTCCGACCAGAATCATTTCAAAGTTGCCAACAATACGACTCAGACCCATAAGCAGAGCACTGGCTATTGGCAGGAGGCAGTTACAGAGCTGACATCTTTTCCTGTAACACAAAGGATAGCAGGTAGAGTATATGGCAGACGGTTAATGAGAACAGAAATCATTAGCTGCTAAAACCGATGTGCCCTTGTCAAAGCAGGACATTTTAGAGATAGAGATTTAGGTACAGACAGTGGGGGTTATGTGTACTAAGTAAGGCCTAAATTTGCCGTCAATATCTACTCATTATTGCTCTATGATGCAGTTTCTGGTAATGGTAAAGTCCATTAAATTAAAGTATATACTGAAATGGTAATGTAAGAGGATGCAGCCCAATCTTAATAGACGTAAACAGATCTTAGACTGAGGTAGGTCATTAAACTTACTTCCCAAATCTCCCTATAAGGTATCCAGAGCAAGTGGATCCCACCAGTCCTCCAATACTATACACAGACACCAGCAAGGACCATCTCAGTGTCAGCGTTTCATGAGGGATTGGTGTTCCATATCTCATCATCCACGTTTCATTGATAAAGGCTTTGATATACTGTAAAATGAGACCAAGAGAGATTTTATGTTATCTCACATTACAATCAATGCAACAATACCTTCATCCAAGCATTAAATGGGAAACACTGAGGTTGGATAAGTTAACAAAGCATTTTTTAATGGAAATAGTATATAATAGTACATAAAATCAGACACATTTCAATAAGCATGTACTGTCTTGTACATTTACCTATATATTTACCTTTAAATATATCCCAAAAATGCAAATTTCGCATTATGGGGGCATTTCGACATGCCTTTTGGTATATTACATATTATTTACTATAAATTAAGCCTTATAAAAAGGGAAATATATTAATTCAATATTCAAATTCAACAAAGAATGGCTACTATCTATTATTACCTAGGAATAAATATATATAGCTTTCTATCTGTGGTCTCAACCTTGATGTTTGTTGCATTGGGTTCTATATGTTCCTTCAAAATATATGAGGTAGACAATAAATGCAATCTGTGGACTTTACTCACCGGGGATGGAGAATTCAAAACCGAGATGTGGTACCCAAACTGAAATGTACCTCCTAGGCCGAGCACAATAACCATTAGGAAGAGGCCCCTGTAGTTAGCCTAGCAACAAAATATAATATTGTATAATAACATGCATAAACCTAAATCAACAAAGCTAGACAATCTTGCAATTGTGAAAAATGAATATTTGTATTTTAATAAGTACATAATGTGTGGCAGGTACTCCAGAACAAATTCCAAATTTTTGTACTGGTGCGAAATGAAGGGGTTCCTGATTACCTAGGTCCACAGTAATAAGCAAACAAAAAATAAATGTCCTTAGCATACAGCAATAAATTCAGGTGGTCTATTCAGCCATCAACGGGAAAGGGCAACATTTCAACTCATTCAATGTTTGAGAAAGACACATATACCAGTCTAAACGTTGTCATTTCATTTTGATGACTGAGTAAACCACTATATTTTATTGCTGTGTGCTGAGGATATTTATTTTTTTGTTTATTTGTATTTTGACGAGGCATATTTATGGATCACATTCCATATGATATTACCTGTTGACAGGATTTCATATTTCTGTGTGTAAAATCCTTAAATAGTGCTTTGATTTGTATTTCCTGTGTGCCTTTCATTTGATAAAAAATGAATTTACCGCAAGCTCTACTACTCTACAATAATAATAATAATAATAGTGATAGTAATAAATAAGTCTCTTAAAACAACAGGCAACAGCAATGCAGCGTTAAATAGGATGAATACTGCACAACATTTACTCTTTTGTTTATGAATATTTCAGTTTTATATTCGAGCAGTGCAATGGACAATGGAGAGACACTTTAAAGAGCTCTGTAATAAAGCACATGTACATGAAAGTGGTTAATATTAGGTAAAATAACAATGAGCTTTTTGTAGGGGAACTCACCAGCTCAGTAAAGATATTAGCCATTTATGACGATATTTCTGAGATTGTCTTTTCTGAGTAATTACTTTTGCTTCCACAGATAATCCTTCGTGGCTGATCACTCAGTGGTCACAGGGGGACCTGAGCAGGGTTACAAATCTTCAGCGTGTCCAGCCCTTTAGTCTGGAGGACACTATATGTACGACAAGGTTTATTGTCACTAATAATTTATTGCTAACTAGGGGAGGTGCCGGTAAAAACATGAGTAAACGTGACAAATAATGGAAGGATTGAGTGATCAGTGAACCTAAACCTACAGCAGACGCAATGAGGCAGAAGCAAAGTTACTCTTTTAAAGATGTGGACCCTCAGCCAAGGCTTGCCAAGAAGCAGAAATATGTCACTAAGGGGTGGATGTTGTGAAGTGACTTAGCACATTCTTACTATGTGACAGATCATGTGTAGTAGACTAGAAAAAACACCCATGATGTTTACTGTTTATTCATTTAACATCCCACTTTATGTACCTATTATAGGTAGATGCCATAGTATGATATAGGTGCAGGAGTTGCAGTTGGACATCAATATTCACTAGTACAGTTGGGGTACTAGTACCCCTAGATCATGACCCAGATTTGGGTAATCATGTTATTTTAGTGGGTTTCCAGTGGTTGTAACAGACACAGCTAGTTCATCATCCCCTATGAGGCTGTCCAATATTGTTTATCATGCTGGTTTTGCCTTCTCCAGTATAATGGAAATTCCCTCTGATGCTGGAAGAGTTCAACCAATGTGTTGGATTAAATGTATTCCAATATTAAAGGAACACTAAAGCATTAAGAATGCAAAGATGTCCTGTAGCAGTTTAGGTGTCCGTCCCCTCCGAATGCATGAAAAATATATTTTACTTACATTTTACCTCTTGCTGCAATGCTTTCCCCACTGCTGGTCCTACCTCCTTGTCTGAGATCAATATTGATGATCTAAGCCAAACCAATGCTCCCAGAGCATTAGGAGGCTAGTGTGCATGTAGAGCAAATCGCCACTCTTCACTAATAAAATTCTGCTCTAAGAGCAGAATTTGTTTGAGAACGGAATTTGACTTTATCCTTACTCTGGAATACTTTTAATGGCTATCTTGAAGTCTTAAAAGGTGTGACCACCTTGGTCAAAGAACTCCCTGCTTGGTCCTGCAGCCTCTCACTTTGTCAAGAGAGTGTTGTCAAGTGTATATCAGTTTAAGAGCGAGGTGCAGACCACAAAACTCCACTACCAGACGTCCATGGATAACACCCACGAGAGTGAATACCACTGAACCACCAGGGATAACACCCCGCTCCTGCCAAAAGGGAAGCAGATAGGTGTCATATGACAAAAAATAAATAGGGAAACGTGTGAGGATGGTTCAGGATACACACTCAACCTCCTTTCCTACAGCACCATCAACACTCAGACTCCCTTCCACACAAGAAATCCATACATTACACAAAAAACACTCACCAAGCACACACAGACATGCTAAACCTCTCAACGCACAAACAACTATCAGCTCCTCAAACTGGACCCTGCTGGGGCCATGGGCAATGTTGATCTGACTCTGAAAAAAAATCACTTGGCTAGTAGTTTTCAATCTATATTTAATATGATCTAGTGCAAGGCAACATTATATACTTTTGATGACATAGATGACTTTCTCATCTCCTCATGCTTGTGCCCTACTGTGAGGATGTTATGTCATTGAACATTCATTATGAGTCAGCATAAAAAGTGATCTTTGTCAACAATGGCGCAGATCTCACTTCTATATTCAGATTACTCACCAAGTGCTGTAGCCTGGACCTCCATGCATAGACGCATTAGAAAAAATCCATATCCACTTCCTTAGTGTCGTTGATCTTTTCTGAATATGGATTTGTAAAGCATTTATATAAGCATATACATTCCACTAGTGATGGAAGGTGTATACAGAAATAATAATGATATTCTTTCTCTAAACAAAACATCAACAACAAAATTAACCAAAAATCACACTAAAGTATCCATAGAAAATCTGTGGCCTCGAGGAGAATCTGGCCTTCCTGTAGGGAAAATATGCCTCTTGGCAGCATACTGTAGCAGTCATACTGAGCAGGAGCCACAGCTGTCATATAGTTACAATCAGAGGGGTAACTAGAAATCACCGGGCCCTGATTCAAAAATTACCCTGGACCCCCGCCCACATGTCTCTTTCCCACCCAGCCATTCCATGTGTCTCATTCTACCCCCCCCACCACCTCCATGTATCTCATTCTCTCCCCCCCAGCTCCTCCATGTGTCTCAATTCCCCTTCCAGTCCCTCCATGTGTCATACTCTCTTCATGTATCTTATCACCCTTCTATGTGTCTCATTCTCCCTCCAGCTCCACCATGTGTCTCACCCCTCCATGTGTCTCATTCTCCCCCCCAGCTTCTCCATGTGTCTCAATCTCCCCATGTGTCTCGTTCCCCCCTTCCATGTGTCTCACCCCTCTGTGTGTCTCATTCTCTGCCCCAGCCCCTCCATATGTCTAATTCTCCTCCAATGTATCTCATCTCCCCTTCAGTGTGTTTCAATTCTCCCACCAGCCCCTCCATATGTCTCATTCTCCCATTCCATGTGTCTCAACTGCCCCAGCCCCTCCATGTGTCTCATTCCCCCCCTTCCATGTGTCTCAATCCCTCCCGTCCATTCCCTGTATCAATTCCCCTCCCCAGTCCCTTCCATGTGCCTCAATTCCACCCCCAGTCTCCTCCATTGTCAATCCCCCCACAATTTCCCCCCTAGTACCTTTCACTTGTCAATTATCCCCCTAGACCCTTCCATATGTCACTTCAACCCCATGTGTCTCAATTCCCCCAATCCCTCCCATGTGTCTCAATTTCCCCCACCCCCAGCTCCTTCCATGTGTCAATTCCCCAGTCCCTTCCATGTTTCTCTCCCCCATCATCCTGGATTGCATTACTCCCTGTCAGACCGGGTAGATGTAAACAGAGACTCCTCTACCCACAATCCAGTTGGCCACGCTACACTGTTGGTCAGGTGGCGACTGAACCACCCTGCAGGTATGCCGCCCAACAGTTGCAGGTGTCGACAGGATGGCCAGGCCACCTGGAGTGGTAGGTATGCCACTGGTTTTCTCAGCTCTAAGACCAGATTCTCATTTCCCTTTTGACACACACGTACAAACACACACACTAACATACTAATGCTGCATTTACATGAGAATACAAACAAGCACAAATACCGACATTGCACACATACACATCGATACACATACACAGGAATATCGACACATAGTGACAGACAAATACATAAAAAAGGAACACTGTCATACACCTATTTGATGATTTACAGAACAGAGAGAAGCTGTAGTCACCAATTTATGCATATAGTACCTTATAAGGCTGCTGCTGTGGACAGTAAATACAACCTACACAATACAGTGCAGCAAGTGGGAGAGGCAGTAACCTTATTAAAGGGACACTAGAAGAGGGGGAGGGGAGTAGAGAGGGGAGAGAGAAGGGGGGGGGGTAAGAAAACAGGAGGGGGTAAGAAGAGGAGGAGAAGCAAGAAGAGGGGAGGGGAGTAAGAAGAGGGGATAAGAAGAAGAAAGAGTGTAAGAAGAAGAAGAAGGGGATAAGAAGAAGAAGTGGGATTAGAAGAACAGGTGGGGGAGTAAGAAGAACACAGGGAGGAGGGGGAGTAAGAAGAACACCGGGAGGAGGTGGGTAAGAAGAACACAGGGGGGTGAGGAGAACACATGGAGGGGATGAGTGAGAAGAACACAGGGAGGGTGGAGGGGGGGATGAGAAGAGCACAGGGTGAGTGTGAGAAGAGACCGCTACGGGAGGGTGGGGGAGAGGAGAGACCACTAAGGGGCAGGGGAAAGCTCTAAGGGACAGAAGGGACAGCTCTATAGGACAGGGAGCTCTTTCACACTATGCGCACACACACACACGCACACAATGCATCCCTATACATACACAGAAACACACAATGCATCCCTACACACACAGAAACACAACATGCTTCCCTTACACACAGAGAAACACAGAATACATCCATTGCACACACACACAATGCAACCCTTACACACAAAGACAATGCATCCTTTGCACACATACACAGAAACACACAATGCAAACCCTTACACACACATGCAAACACACACACTGCTTTTCTTACATACACACAGAAACATAATGCATCTCTTACACTCAATGCACACACATACAGACACACACCTTGCATCCCTTATGCATACAAACACAGATTCACACAATGCATCCCTTATACACAAATACACACTGCTTCCACTACACACAAACACACTGCATCACCTACACAAACTGGTATCCCTATACACTACATACCATAAGCACACATATTGGATCCTCTACAAAACACATAACACATCCCCTACACAGTCCACTCCCTGTGAGTGGAACATATAAGTGGACTTATGGGTGGGCCTTATGGGCATACTCACCGTCAGGCCCTGGGGCCCAGACCTTGAGCTGTGTAAGGGGCCCCCAAAAAATGGAGCTGCTTCCAATTCTCCCAGAACATTGAATTTTGTGACCACAGTTGCAAACAGCCTCCAGAGATCCTGTTCTACACCAGACCAGTGGAGCCAAACTGCACCCGGAAACCAGGAAAAGGTGGGCATGGATGGTGAACTGATTTGGTGGTGCAATGGGCCACTTGACTGGTTTTGCCCCCCAGGTCTAAGGCTGCCAGCCCTCCCCTGCACGTCTTCACGCTCTGCATAGAGAAGAATTGATTCAATACATCTCTTTGAGGAGATGCTGATTGGTGCAACGCAGTGTTTTGCCAAACATGCACTATAGCCTCCCAATCCTTTCCTATGGAAGGGCATTGGATTGGCGGAGATCATCAAGTTTGCTGGAATAAAGGTGAGTAAACTCACCTTTAAAATTGCTTACAGTGGGGCTGAGGACCCAGATAGTGTTTTCATAACTATGGTGACATGTGTGTATCCCTGTCATTATAGTGTTCATTTACACAAGCATGTTTAGATGAGTGCAGCCTCTCTCTGAATATTATATTGAAGTTTGCCATATATTGATGGTTTTGAATCTGTCCTTGAAACAGGTGCCTCATTACAAGACTCTATTTAAACCTTGCACTGCAGAGAGCCCCAGGGGGATGAATGTCCCATGAAAGTGGGTTAATCTTATCAGAGTAGGCAGCAAGTTAAAAACCCTTATGGGCCTTAAAGTTAGTTTGAAGTGGAGTCAAGTGTGCTGTATTTTATATGTTTCCGACGTTATACATATACAGGAGCATTGACATTCATTGACAGTGTACACACACAATATCTTAAACACTGCACACATAATATACAATGACATTAGTTCTAACACAGAAACCTTCATATGCACTGATAGTGTATCCACTATATATATCTTATTTCACTTGGATAATCCTATATTATTGTCTATGAGTGATTGACAGCTGTATGTCAAACTAATTATCGGCACATGGACACTGAGTGTGTATTGGATGCCTGAATGCATTAGGCTGGCCAGTCACAAGAGGTTTTTTTTTTCAAGATGTTAAGGTTATTTCCCAAGTTATCTTTTAGGTTTCCAAGCAATCACATAAACCTGAATTCAGTTATTAAATGCATTTTTTATGTATAATTTTCAGATTTAGATACAGAGTTCTGACATAATGTTTGCTACATTCTGTGTTCTGTCTCTCTGGCTGACATATTACATAACAAAGTACCTATGAGTGGTGGAAAGATTAGTTTCCATCAAATCAATCCAGACTAAAAAAAATTCAGTTGACTGAATCTCGATGACATGACTGTTCGGCTCATCCAAATATTGTCCATGCAAACGATGCAGGAAAACCTATTAAGAAAAACTAAAAGGGTACATAAAATTTGCAAATATGTACAAAATATACATTAATAAAAAAAAATAATAATAAAATATATATATATATATATATACATATATGCAAAATATACAGAATACTAAATATACATATTAATATATATACATACATATACACACACACACACATATATATGTGTGTGTAAATATGTGCAAAGAATACATACATACATATAATATTTACATGTATATATATTTTGCAGAACAGTGATAGGATCATTTTGTGCCCATCTAGTGATGCTAATTCTGACTGAATAGAATAGTATTTCACCATTCAAATTTGCTCCTCATTCAGTCAATATTTGGTTACTTTTAAGCATTCAGTTGCGTATTTTGGTGAGGTTGATCTTTGGTTTATTTTCTTTCTTCCTCTCTTTCACTCTCTCTCTCTCTCTCTCTCTCTCTCTCTTTTTTGGCACCATGTACGGAACGCCTAATCACAAAGCAAACAAACCTATTCGGCTATTGTCCAAATTGTTTTTTTTGTGACATATTGACACGGCACTTCAGAGTTATAAAATTTGTTTGCCAGATGAATTGCAATTTGTTTCAATATGAATGCACAAGTCTACTTATGTTCAATTCATCCAGATAATGCATTTTACTGCCTGGAGAGTTGCTTTCTCTTTCAGAGTTCAGTGAAAATAATGTCTACATTTGAGTGTGAATGAAATAGTTATACAGGGAAAGAGCCTAAATCACTGTGACTGGAGAAATTGCAACCTTTGTTTACACTGCCATTTTTGTGCTGTGTTCATCTCCTACTAATGCTTGTTAATATCAGACAGATCTGTAATTTAATAAAAGTGACTGGAGAAAAGGTGATGGGATATGGCAGGGATGCTAATATGTAACTAAAAGCATATCAGGACATTTCTACAACATGAACATGATTCAGCAATCCACTTTTCCTTTTTGGGTAACTTTATCCTTATGATATTATTTTAGATCATGCTGCCATGCATTTTTGTTAAGAAAAAATATTTGGGATTGCAGGAACCTAATTATATGATAGTGATATAAAGACTTGATATAAATATACAATTATCAGACACAACATTAAAACCGCCTGCCTAATATTCTGTGGGACAGCTATGATGTGGTGCGGTAAGGACTCTACAACACCTCTTAATGTGTCCTGTGGGGTATTTGGCACCAAGAAATTAGTAGGAGATACTTTAAGTTGTGAGGTGGGGCATCCATGGATCAGATTTGTTGTTCCAACTAGCGTTGCCACTAGGGTTGTCACCTTTCTTGGAAAAAAACGGCCATGTTAATTTGCATAATATTTTATTTATGCATGACATCACAGGATATGACAAAAGTAAAGTAAAGTAAAAATAAAAAAAATTAAATTGACTTACAGTTTGATTCTGCTGTATAGAGACATTGTTCTGCAGTTTGGGGAGATTAGCCTGCTCTTCTGAGTGCTCCGTCAGTGGAACTAGCAGCAGACTATCTGCATCATAGACAATAGGCCCGGACTGCCGATTGGGCAAATGCCCAGTGGGTCGCAATGGTCATGGACAAGGCCGACAGTGGAGAGCTTGACTTGCTCTCTGCCTTCTCGGGCCGGTGAAGAGCTCAAAGCTCTCCCTCATCAGCCCACTAGCACTTGGTTGAGCAGAGGTTTAATAGTATTCTTGCCAAGGAGGAGCGTTGCCCCAGTTACTACTGCAAAGCAACGACACAGCACATAGCTGGAACTCACGAGAGTAGAGTACTCATCCTGCAGCCAAAGGAGTTACAGGCAGAGTCACTCAATACCACTGGACCGCCAGGTCCCTTGCCAAAGGTAAAAAATGGGAGAGGGGATATAAAAAGTTTTTCGTAATAAAAATATATTATACACACACACTACAGCACCTATACACACTCTCTATACAGTCCCTAGCCACACGCTACAGCCCTGCCCCTAGCCATATTACACCACAAACACAATACAATTGAAAACAAACTATATACACAAAGCACTACACAATCAGCTTACTCTGAAACACGCGATCTCACAAGCAGTCTCCAAATAAATGTACAATAAGCTTTCATGGCCTTTTGTCCTCTGGTATCCCACCTATAAACACAAACATGACAGACCCTATTCACACACTCACTACATCCCCAATACACACTCTCTACAGTTTCTAGCCACAAATTTTACACCACAAACACAACACAACTGTAACCGACCTATTTATACAAAATACCACACCATAATCAGCTCACTCTACACACACGCAATTCCACAAGCAGGCTGCAAAACATGCACAATATGCTTTCTTGGCCCTTTCGTCCTCTGGTATCCCACTTATAGAGATACCAGAAACAAATCACAAGCAGACACAGTGCAAGCATGTTAATAAATTTGCTTCCACTGTGCAGAACAAACACAGAGCCTTTTTCTCATGCAAGAGCTCTTTAGTAGGGCTCTGTGCATGGGCTTCCCTGGAAGAGCATTGAACCAACATGCTCACTTTGAAAGAGGGAGTGCTTGTCATTGCTTCTGAACCCCTGGTCTGATTCATGCCATTTTTTGATATGTTGTTTCCCTGAATGGATTGATTGTGAATATATAATTTTTATGTGAATGTGATGTGTATTTTAGAAGTTATGAATGCTGTAAAAACTGTATTATTTCTGGCCAGCAGATAATTGAGCTTTGTGTATTGAAGAAACTCAATTATCTAGCCTGGCCCAGAGGAGGAGTTTTGTGTTGCATAAATTGTGAGTTCTGTGTGCCAGTAAATAAGTCTTGTTCCAGCATTAAGCCTTGGCTCATGTTTGGGGGATTGGAGAAATACACTCTGGGGATTGCTATAATCACTATACTCCCCAGGGTATGATCACTAAGTTCTGCTAAGAGCTTGTTCCTGTTCCTGCTCTCTGGGGAAAGAGAGGTTCACCCACTGGAAGCTGGATCCTGGCCTTGGGTCCAGGGTGGGTGGAGACAGCAGAGACCCCGGCGCAGTTGCATCGCTGGAAGTGGGGTCTGCAGTGCTGATGGTGTCGGTTGGAGTGCTTGGAGTCCTCAGCGAGCACTATGAGCATCGATTGGCGGAGGTACTCAGTCGGAGTGCCAGCGGTCCGTCACACACCCCCTCTATGCCCCACCGCTTTCTCAGAGGGTCGGTGTGCCTAAAAAATGCCAGGACAGATTTTTTTTTCCCTGTCCGGCCTGCCATAGTCAACATCTAAATGATGCACTACATGATTGACATTTTATATATACCTATATACCTATATATACTTATAGCCATAATGAAAGTCATTTGAGGGTAGGGTGGTTGTGCATGATGTTGACCTGGCTATTCCCAGTGGTTAAATTACAGAATGAGGTAAATTTTGCGTTCTGGTGTATGAATGTGTTGTGGTACATGTATGTGTGTCATGATGCATGTTTTTGGTGTTGGTTATTGTACTCTATGCTCGGTGAGGAACTTGCTATAGTGTATGCCTCTGAGGCTTAGTTTGCTGAAATGTTTGATCAATACCATGGTCTCCCATACTGTTATAACAATATGTAAAAATTATTTATTTTTATTTTTTTAGGATCAATGGGCCTTTTGCGTGGATTTGGACCTGGAACCACAACTCAAGGAGCCCCTATGTTAATCCTGCCCTTTTGTATATGTTTAGTATATATTGGGATCTTTGTTGGGATAAAAAGCACCTTCCGTCATGTTTAAAGGGAAATGGATATCCCAACCATCCACGACACAACCAGAAGCACCACACACCCGGGAACAGGGGAAACACTAGGACGACCACCTCACTAACGAGCGCAATGACGAACCCGAAAGGGGGGATCCGCTACTGGGGTTCAATAGCTGGAACACAACAGATACCAACCGTGGTTCCTTACACTCGACAGGAGAATGACGGACCCGACAACAAAAGCTACAACAGGACAGCTCTCGAAACCCGCCCCCAACACCCCTTGAACATCTCGCCGAACCCGGGGACTAACGAGACACGACCCGGAGACACACCTCCGAATAAGCTGACTCGGACCAATATAGTAGACCGGGACTTAATGGCTAAGTTAACAGGACAATACACCCCCACTCAAGTCGCACTTGCGACCTGCACAGACTCTCCTCCCCTTCCTCAGTAGCCCCACCGCTCTGAAGGGGTACTAGACTACACACCCACAGACCCACAACTGCTAACGAACAATGAATCAATAACTGATAGCTATTATTGTCAAACTTCCAGTATTTGCCATTGTCCTACAATATTCCAAAGCGTACCCTGCGTTGGTACAAACCTGAATGGATGGAACTGTTATACCACCCCCCCCCCTATTACTTTCTGTATCCCTCCCCTTGAATATTGATATAAACACAAAACCGATAAATAAAGAATGATAAAAAAAAAAAGAAGGGAAATGGATAAGTGGTGACAAAGGTACAGGCTACCTAGGCAGACCTCATTTAAAGGACCACTCTAGGCACCCAGACCACTTCAGCTTAATGAAGTGGTCTGGGTGCCAGGTCCCTCTAGGATTAACCCTTTTTTTATAAACATAGCAGTTTCAGAGAAACTGCTATGTTTATAAATGGGTTAATCCAGCCTCCAAATCCTCTAGTGGCTGTCTCATTGACAGCCGCTAGAGGCGCTTGCGTGCTTCTCACTGTGAAAATCACAGTGAGAAGATGCAAGCATCCATAGGAAAGCATTGTAAATACTTTCCTATGAAACCGGCTGAATGCGCGCGCAGCTCTTGCCGCGCATGCGCATTCATCCGAAGAGGAGGATCGGAGGCGGAGAGGAGGAGGAGAGCTCCTCGTCCGGCGCTGGAATAAAGGTACGTTTAACCCCTTTCCTCACCATCCAGCCCGGCGGGAGGGGGTCCCTGAGGGTGGGGGCACCCTCAGGGCACTGTAGTGCCAGGAAAACGAGTATGTTTTCCTGGCACTATAGTGGTCCTTTAAGAGGTTTCCTTGTTTCAGGTTAACACATGTGCATAGATATGGTTTAATGGTTATATTTAAAGTATAAACACTCAAAATAAACATCAGTCAATGCACAGTGACAATTGTGAATACAAATTTATTAAGATATGTTTTAACCATGTTATGATGTTTAATTATGACTCCTAATAAACCGTTATGCATTGGTTATAATTTGTTTTATTTGCAGATATATATATATATTTTTCAGAACTTCAAACATATCTCTGTATGTAGTCTAAGGTTGGCTAGGTACCACTTTACCCCTAATTGCAGCCTTTAGAAGATCAGAAAGGTCCTGCTAGGAGCTTCTATACTGCTGGGATCTGCTGAGCTAAATTCACTGGTTGAAAGTGTCACCTGTGCACTCTCAGTCAATGAGCTAATCCCTGCACCGCTGGGTTTAGCTCAGGCAAAGAACCTCCAGCTCTCATGGAGTCTCTAGAGACATCAAATCATTCTAAAATGTTTGACTACTTGCATTGGGGTATGCCAGGGTACTCCTGGCACTATAATCCCTACAGTGAGCTGTAGTGATTATGGTGCAAGGCGTGTTTTGTTTTTTTTAAAGTAGAATTCAGGACTAAATATATGCAGTTGGTCTCTCTAGAGAAAAACTAGTACTGTAGTATACTCCAAGAAATATTAAAATCTACTCTCTTGATCTGCCTTACTGTAATGATGTGTGTACAATATATATCAAGGAATATTCTTCATTTGTTATTGCTCTATTATTATTTTTTTCTTCTTGCAACAGATGGTACCCTTAATCTGTGATAATACGGAGTTTTCTGATTATTTACACGCTGGTTTCAATATTAGCTGATATCTCAGCTGCCTCATTGCAGGGTTTTCCTTTGAAGTTGAATCGATTAAATTCCTTTGTTATCTGCCGTAATGTTTTTCCTTTTGTCTCTGGGAGAAAGTAATACATAAATATTGCAGAGGCTAAGATGCAGGTGAGGAAGAGAAGAAAGCAGTATTGATGTAGGCTGTTCTATAGAGAGAGAGACAGAATGAATTGTTAGTTAAACGAGGAATGTATAAATTAGCTCCAACTACAACAAACAATTCTCGTAGTTATTTATTGAAGTGAGAATTCAGAGTTCAATTCTAAGGTCAAAAAAGTCAAACTGGAAAAATTCTCTAATTCAGCTATGCTTAAGGTTTTGCTACTCTGGCCTAAAATGTGCAATTCACTTTGAATTCTCACTTTAGTGAACAACCCTGTCTGTAGATAAAATTTTTTTAAAAAAGGCTCATTGTACTCTGTCACACATACACATATATCGTAATGCTGCAGTGTTCTCCTCATTAGGTAGATGCAGCCACCCCCTCTCCCCCATCCCCAATTAAAACCTAGTGAAAAAATGATTTCACATACCTATATTCAAGCTCTGACACTCATTTAGTGCTCCGCCCACTCCTCCCACATCAAAGGCATTGCTCACTGGCTTCTTGTCCTATCCAATGCACCTCATAGATAAACATTGGGGACCAGATGTGCATGCATGGTGAGTGCCTTGCATGTGTCCAATCAAATGCTTCTTGTAGGGAAGCATTAGATCCAATGCTTCCCTATGGACTGCACTTGATGATGGACGTTCTCATGGACACCGAATGTCACATGACCAAGCCAAACTCGGTCATTGCAGGAACCTGTAGTCACTGTCAGGAAGACAGCCACTAGAGCATGGGTCCTCAAACTCCGGTCCCCCAGATGTTGTAGTTTAGCAACATCTGGGGGACCGGAGTTTGAGGACCCATGCACTAGAGGCATGTTTAACCCTTCAATCATAACATTTACACATCTACTAAAAGGCAATGCTTTAGATTCCTATTGTGTTTTTCTGCTCCGCCTCTGCTTGACTGTAAGCTCATTTGAGCAGGCTCCTGAAAAAACATGTGATGGTTTGTCTCATTTGTTGTTAAACTCCCCTTAATAATAAAAGTGCTGCAGAATATTCTGGTCCTATATAAATGCCAAGAATAATAATGATTGAAGGGCTAAAACTACAGGGTAACTACACCCACACCACTTCTTTGAGTTGAAGTAGTCTGGGTGTCTTTGATGATCCTATATGTAAAAAACAAAGAAATCAGAGTAATATGAACTACAAAAAACGGGCAACATTGTTGGTGGGTGGGTATTTGCCCATGCAACGACAATAGGTTTTTATAACATGTTCACAGTCTCTTTTAACCATGCATTTTAGGAGCCTGATAACTTTTTCCTTCTTTTGTTTTCATAATTTTTTTCCTCTCCCATCTCATTAATTTATATTAAATGGGATATGACACATATACCATCAATAAGCTCACTTTTGAAATACTTATAGAACTTTTTAAGGTAGTACAGCAAATTCGTTTACTGCTGACTTGGTATTCTTGTTAATGGTTATACTGCTTTAATGTAAACGTCAAACATTTTATATTTTAAATAAAAGAATTAAAAGTCCACACTCACAACAACATAAGGAAAAATCACCCCAATGATATAGAGCCCGATCCAATTGAGACAGCTAACGATAACAAACACAGCAGGGCGTGCGCTGTGACTGAACATCTCAATGAAAACAGCAATAGTTACAGCTCCTTTAGGAAGATACAAGGCATAAAATGTAACACACAGGGCACTCTAGAACGTGCAGTGAAAATGTACTGACAGTTAAATATAGGATAGGATGTTCTATGTCAGGGGTAGGCAACTCTCGGCATTCCAGATGTTCTGCACTACATCTCCCAAAATGCTCTTAAAGCTATAATGATGACAAAGCCACGTGGGAGATGTACTTCACAACATCTGGAGTGCTAAAGGTTGTCTACCCCTAGTATATGGTCACATTTATTAATACTGGTTTGGCGTTCAAAAACAGGGACACAATACATTTCCATTGCACACCTTTAAAGTAGACATACTAGACACTTTTCCAAACCCTTACTAGACACATCCAACTAAAGAGTTACATAATTGTGCCTATTAATTAATTATTAATATATGCAGCAAATAATGGAAAATAATATTTGTTAGTAGCTTCAGAATTGGAGAGCAAGATGTATTGAACATAATAAATGCACTTTAACTTAAAAAAGTGGTTTGAGTGTATAGATCATGACTCTGCAGTCTCACTACTGAATTCTCTGTCATTTAGGAGTTAAAGCAGCCATAGCCACACCTACCCAGGCTGTGATTCACATAGCCTCCCTGACAAAATGGCCTCCTGTGTTTAATCAAAAGTGCAACTAACAGAGTTCAACTGAAGAGACACAAAATTTTCAATCAGCTTTTACATCACAATGTGTTAACTTTACAATTTTGTGTCTCTTCTGTTGAACTCTGTTAGTTGCACTTTAATTAAACACAGGAGGCTGTTGCAGGATCTAGCAGGCAAGTTCAGAGCAGGAGATAAGAAATTCTAAATTAATTACACTTTGCAATAAGGGAAGCTATAACATTTAGACTCACAGCCAGGGGAGGTGTGGCTAGGGCTGCATAAACAGTGAGACAACAGTGAGACAACAGGGGCATGATTTAAAAAAAAAAAAAAAAATACAGTTAATTAAATGCACACTGTATTCACCAGAACCACTACAGTTTAATGTAGTGGTTCTGGTTTAAATAGTCCCTGCAGGCTCAGTGATGAAAACACTGCCTTCTGAGAAAAAAGGCATTGTTTACATTGCTAGTTGGTAACTTTTCTAGCGGCAATCACCCAGACAACCACTAGAGGTGTTTCCTAGTCTAGTGCTGCACAGTGTGAAGCACGTACGTTCAGCATCTCCATGCAGAGCAAGAGATGCATTTTTTCAGTGTATCTCTATTAGGAAACACTGATTGACGCAGTGCAACGTTTTGCTGTGCATGCGCAATAGCCACCCAAGGCTTTCCTAACAGTGGATTGGCTGAGATAATCAAGATTGATCTCAGTCATGGAGGCGAGGTCTGCTGCGGAAAGACCGGTGCTGCCGGTGCTGAAGTTAAGGAACGGGTTTTTACGCCACAGAGAGGGAGGCCACTCCAGGACATGTTTGTATTCCCAACACTATAGTGTTCCTATAAGTTGTTTGATTTTTGGAGTGTCCCTTTAAACAACACCAGAAAATAAATGCAAAGTAATATTCCCCCCCCAAGTAAAAAGTGTATTATCTTGAAAACCATAAG